GAGAGAGAGAGAGAGAGAGAGAGAGGCATATATATATATATAGGAAAGGGGAGGCACTATGAATAAATATAAATCATATATACACACAGTATATGCATATATTTATATATATATATATATGTATATGTGTATGTATATATATATATGTATATGTATATATATGTATATATGCATATGTATATATATGTATATAGGCCTATATATGTATATATATATGTATATTTATGTATATATATGTATTTATATGTGTAAATATATGTAAATATAGACATTGAAAAAAAATCATACACAGTTGACGTATTAAACATACATACGTATATATTTATATATATGTATATATTTATATATATGTATATATGTAGAATATAATATAACGTAACAGTAAAGAAACACACGTGGACACGCCTGCTTCATATATATATATATATATATATATATATACATATATATATATATACATTCTATATAACTGTATATAAATAAATAAAAAGTGAGGTTCAACAATAGCTTTGATTAGATATTGTATTACTACTAAAATAATAATAATAAATGTAATAAAATGTCTAATTAAGTTGAACCTCGCGTTTTATATATATTATATCCGCGTTGGTCTACCATTGAGCACTCTGCTGGTAATACTTGCCATACTTTTTCATAGTTTTTGAAAATTATTTATATAACTATATATATAGACCCCTTTATATATATAGTCATATTAGTATATGTCATAGTCATATTATATATATAATATATATATATATATATAGGCCTATATAATAGCAACTAACTTGTTTCATGTGATCAAGAAATATAGGCCTAAATTATTTTGATATTTAACTTATTTCTAAAATTTATTTACAAGAGGCCAGTTTAGTTTTTTTCCGTTTGCTATAATAGCTCAGGAAAACGACAAACTACGATTTAACAAAATTCCGACCCTCTGAATTTTTAGAAGGACCTTGTTTATTTTTGTTCAGAAAAAGGTGCAATTAGAAGAGAGGCTAAACATCAAAGCACCGCTAAGTTACTGGTGCTAGCAGACTTGACCAATCAGGATCCAGTACTTACTGACTTGCTAGTTTGGTACAAAGAAAGTACCGCCTACTTACCCAGTCAACGCACGCCGCCACAGTGGGCATTCAGTTCAGTTGTTTGTTGTAGTGATGCGTGGAAGAGCGTGTAGAGGAACCGTATAGGAACAGTCGAGCGTCTAGCCTAAGTAGTACTAAAAGGTTGGTTTATTGTTACTTATTACTGTGCTATAAAGCCATTTCGGAAAGTACTTTCCTGTGGAGGAATATGGGTTTCGACCTTGAACGTTTTACCACTGAAGTGGACGACGATTTGAAATGTAGTGTTTGTTTGGGAGTTTTGGAGAACCCTCTAGCTACACCGTGTGGACATGTGTTTTGTTCCAATTGCGCCCTGCCGTGGGTCGTCCAAAACGGATGCTGCCCATTGAAATGTGAGAAATTCACAACCAAGGAGCTAAACAACGTTCTCCCTTTACGGAATATTATTCTCAAACTTGAAATTCGCTGTGAGTATTGGATACGTGGATGTGAAGAAAAGGTAAAAGTTCAAAACATGAGTTGCCATTCAGAAGATTGTGATTTTGCTCCTGTACATTGCTCAAATAAAGGATGTCGAGAAATTGTAAATATTAAGGACCAAGCCAACCATGAAACGAACTTATGTGAGTTCAGGCCTGTGGGGCCTTGTAAGAATGGCTGTGGTCTTACTCTGCAGTTTAACACACTCAATGACCACAACTGTTTAAAAGCATTGCAGACTCATGTCTCAACCCAGCAAGTAAAGTTGGCCAATATGGAGCATGACATGAAAAAGATGGCTGGGAGAGCTACAAAGAGGGAAAAATCATTATTATCAAGAATTGCATCGATGCAGAATGAGATACAGATGCAGGCATTGAAATTCCAGAAGAAATTAAATGAATACAAAGCAGAAATTGACTACTTAACAAAAGTTATGTCATTTGAAAAGGTATGCTAATATTTACATAAATTGATGGAATTGTCAGAAGTTTCTGTATATCCATGAAGTGTGAATTATGTTAGCCGACTTGTCTTATTGGTGGTTAAGAATTTAGATCCACTTCCCAATCCAGGGTCAAATGGGTTCAAACCATTCAACCAGTATGTTGTCCTAAATGTTTTTAAAAACAAGTCTACTCCCATATGCCTCATAATGTGGCTTAGCGGTATATTAACTAGTAAGTTCTAGTTTAGTCACAACATGGATTTTGACAGCGAGTGGGCCTTGAATATTGTTGTTAGATCACAATTTGCAATTAAGCATGAACTACAATGTTTCTTTGTGACCATGTTAAATGATCATGTTCATAATATTAAATGAGGATGCAATTTTCCACAACATACAAAAAACAAGCCCAGCCCAATCAGTTAAACAACAAACAAATAATAATTTTTCTTAAGTGCCGATTCCACTCAACGTTTGAACAACCGATGGTAAATAAACGAACAATGAACCCACTTCTAGCATTGTTGAGAATTGTTTGCTTACCCAAGGCCCTACTTGGCATTATTATCTGCTTGAATCGACTACAGTATATTGCACATTGCTAGGAGATAAAACTAATCAGAAAAGTGCATGTGTTGTTAGATGGTTCTAAAATATTACAACATAAATTAATATAGGTGTAAAACAAATTCTGTACTTAAATAATTAATCAAGGAATTGGTGGTAAATATCATTATTTACAGTTAAATTAGTCAGCATCGAAATACAATGAACATCTGAATACACTCTTGACAACAGTCATATCAAGAAGGGGGTGGGGAGATACTTCCCTATCCTTTATTATATTTGTTTGAACTTGTGTTTTGATGCAACCCCCATCATACGCTCGCATAATTGATTTGTTTTTGACAGAATATCATTTATATTGGTCAGTGATGAAAATTACTAAATAAATGTAATGAATACCAATTGGAATGTACTTCAGTGAACTACTGTATCAAAAAATGATGGTCAATATAATATTTTCCCATGCTACCAGCTGTTATGTACCCTGGCAGGATTCTATTCTAAGCACTGAAAAATATCAATGAAATTTTCAAAACATCAATGGAATTTAATAGTAGCAATGGGATTTGAAAGATCAGTGGTACAGTATTCATTTAGAATCAATATTCCAAAAAATATATTGTTATTACTATAAAAAACAAATATACTGTAAAAGTGGAAATTATGATGACGTGATTGTTGAAAGTTACAGTACTTTTTTATGAACAGGATTTATTTGTCATAAGTTTAAATTTATCATTTATGGTTTAATAATGTTGTTGAATGATCATTTGAATGTGTTTCCCATAATTCCTGAGTCATTGGCATGTCCTCAACGAATTATTGATCATGCTTTTGTTACTGTATGCTCTAGAAACTCATGATTGTCCCAGTTTCGAAATATCAAAGTGCAATATATGTAAAAATCTAATATTAAATTGATGGATTTTTATAAAAACACGAAATATGAGTTAGTTATTGGTAATTGTTGAGTAACCTCTTTATGGGAATGGTTGAAAGATGTTAATTAAAGAACGAGGAAAAATGATATAGTATAGCACATGGCAACTCGAGTGGAGTTGTGACTTGGTGGTTAAGTAACTTGCTTTCAAATCCTATGTTGTGGGTTCAAACCTGTCGTTTTTTTTTCTCAAGACAGCTACACTCCCTTAGTCTCAGCTTTCTGTTGAATGTAATATAAAATATAGTAATTTATTAATGAACATGCAAGATATTAAAGTTAAATAGCATTTTATGAATTGGAATTTAATTTATAAAAATGTAATGATTGTAGACCTGTTTTGATTCTTTTGATGATTTATATTTAATAACTGTAGATTAGAGTGTCTTTGGCTTTATACAAAGCAGTTGCTTTTCAGTGAAGTTACAGTAATGTTTGTGAAGATTTACTTTGGAAGGTCATAAGGTTAATGACCCCATTTATTTTCTTAGCATCAATATAGCCATACAGCTGGCTCAGAACAAATAAATCACCAATTTCTAGGTTTTAAATATTTAAGTTCTAGTTACTGTAGTTCAGATTTAGGTTCAAATCAGAGAATATAGAAAAAGTAACTAAGTTGTATAAAATTATGGATATACAGTACAGTCATGAAATATTGCACTTTTACCTGCGCGCAGGCTTCGTAGATACATCGTAGCCTGATATAAACAATCTAACCTGCGCGCAGGCTTCGTAGCCTGATATAAACAATCTAAGCAAGGCTACACGAAGTGAACCTACGAAGCAAAAGCATGTTGTTTATTTGTATGTGCAGAAAGACTGCTGCAGCAGGTATATAACCTGTAATAACTGATTAAATAAAAATGCTTAAACAAAATTGATAAATTTATAATAGTAAATCATAATGAATATTTTTAAACAAAGTAAAAAATAAGTAAATGTTTAGATAAATGTTCTATGCATACAAGCTGAGTAACAAGAACAAAATAGGTTAGGCTTATTATTTATTCAAGCATAAAGATGCCAGACATTTTACAAACAGGAAAATCAAGGAAATAATTAGTAGACACTGCTGCACCCCGGAAGACACCAGAAACCTGCTGTAAACCACACTGTCATCAAATAGCTTCTTTGAATAGATAATATCAGAGGCTAAAAATAACCCCAAAAGATTGATTCATTGAATTAATTTGATAACATTAATAAGAAGATATTTCATGGCCAAAATAGGATATAAAAAATAAAAAAAATAAACTATTAAAATAATTTAAAACTTACAGATAATGCTGCTGATTTAGAGGTTTCTATTAATGGAGGTTAGGGTCACAGGAAGTCCGGAAAACATTTATATTGACTTCGGACACAATTCATTAATTCTTATAATTTGGTTAATATAAACATGTGATTCAAATTGAGAAATGTCAACAAAAATATTACTTATTACATTGTGTCAGAATGCATTATGTGCAACATTGAAAACTTTTATTGTCCAAATTAGGAATAATTTGTCAACGATCGAAACATGACACCATCGGGATCAAGCTGAAATGAAAGCCTCTACCAACGGTCTGTTCTTAATTCAGATTTTTTTACAGCTACGTACTTGGGTGAAAATGATGTCAATTTTCAGAATTAGTGTGGTATGCGTACACCAATGGCCTCAAGTATAATTATTGAGGTGTATTTCTCCTGTACTACCAATACCATATCACTCTGGTTGACTATTTGGAGTGGAAGCATACCTATAGCCTCTAGGGTGATACAAATGTTTTTGTCAGGGGTTTCTCTCCTGCTTATGTTGTTCAGCTGTTGAACTGATTTTTACAGTCTTGTCTATGATTGGAATTTTCTGGTGGTGTGTGCCAGTTGTTGGCCTCCTTTTCCCCTAGCTTTATTCATTACTGTCAGGAGGTAATTTAAATTCATAGGATTCAAACTATTTTATATGCATATAATTTTATTACACAGTGATTAATGTATGGGAGATGATTTAGGTGATTCATTTCACATGAATGTGCTGAGTTTTTTGCTAGCCTCACGTGAACTTAAAAATTATTTATATTCACATCACAGTACTTTATCTGATTTTCTAAATATTATTTTTTATAATTACTACATTTGAATACTTAAATATTGAAGGCCGTCAATGTTACGAATCTATCGATGATCAGCAAGTGTAACTCTGTGTATCCATTTAAATAATACCCGTTAAATAACCACTGGTGTAGTTTCTAGAAACAATCATGGATGGAGCAACAATTACTAATTTTTTGATGTGCTAAAAGAAATAACTTTTTAGGAGCTTTCACAAATAGGTTACTGTAGTATCCTATGATTTATAACTAATGGGCATCCTTTAATAAGTGGACTATAATTTCAGTTCCTCAAATATAAGTCCACTTCTGAGGTATAATCCCATCCTCTACTTATGCCTAATGCTACACATCAGCCTTCCTTCATTAAAAGTCCAGGGTATGACATTACAAATATTCTCAGAAAATAATCTAGTATTAGCTTTAAATTAGGCATCAGTGCTAAATAATTGCCATGTGATTGAAATGGAGATTCCTTGGATATAATAAGCCCACCCCAAAAATGTCCCCATTTTGTGTTATGGGGCCCTGTTGGTGGGCTTACAACAGAGGAACTATGGTGTTAAAGAGGTTGAACTTTTTGTTATAAATAATAAACATAAATTTTGTATCTCAAAAATGCCAGCTTTCATATTCATACAATTAGTGTGCTTTTATATTCAGTCATTAAAATACTAAAAACAAAAACGGTGGAGAGGATTTGTACTTGAAACAATGGATACAAAGGCGTTGGAGAATGTAATGAGGAAATTGATTACCAGAATTAACAATAGATTGAAATGGATAAACAATAATCAGGTCACTTGCAAAGCCATTCAAAGGCTTGAAAAACCCTTCCAAACAATAAAATGAGCAAACTATATCTAGGACACGCGATCTCCTGTGATTAACTGTACATGTCTTGTTACCCCCATGTACTGTACCATTTTAATTTTTTTACAATATTCAATATAACATTTATTCATTCACACAAATACAATTCGAAATTATAACTTTTATCATACAAAGATAAATTACAAAGTGGACAAGGGACAGTTAAAAAGCTGAAGGCTTGTCTAAACTGCCCCTTAACAAAGACATACACACATGAAAAAAACACATAAATTAAAATACAGAAGAAAATATAATTATTATTATTATTTATTAAAGAACATTTTAGTTAGTATCAATCATACATTGGATTTTCTTTTGAAAGTACTGTAGATAATTTGCAATTTTTTGCCATTTGTGTTTACATTTTATGGTTGTCCACAGAGATAGATTTTTTTATTAATAGTACTGTAGAATAATTTGCCTTTTGTATTTACATTTTAGTTTTGTCACGTTCTCATGTTTTTTTTTAAATGAAATAGTTGTCAATGTTGTTAATGTTATAGGATTTTTCTCAAAACCAAACATAACTCCACTCCTTAAGTTTCATGAGTCCATGTACGGTAGAAAAGCAGCTTTTCTTCAGAAAGGGATCGTCATCTATGAGTAGTCCAGTGATTAAGTTTGGTATATTAGCGATCCTTAGTAGATGTGCCTAGTAGGAAGTGAACCGGGAACCCTGGAATTGGGAGGCAAGCATCTTAACCAGATAGCTATTCGAACCCAGTGTATTCACAATAACTTGAATAATAAATCAAACTCTTAGTTTAAATGTGAATAGGGAGGAAGTTTAAATGTGAATAGGGGGGAAGTTCATGATTACAGTATATAGTTATTACTTTAGTACTCATAATTAACTATCATAAATGCAGTATTATGTTATAAATATGAACTTTCATAAAATCAAGGTGTGAACTTTATTAAACTTCTCCAAAGTATAATATAATAGGTTCCATGAAAATGTGTCATTACTGTATGCAGTATGGAGGGATATTAAAAGCTGCTTAATAATTATATGTGGTTATGCTTTGTGTTATATTTGTCATCGGACCATGCACTTAACTATACAGGTCGATGCACATATATATGATATACGATTCCCTAAGGAATTGTTCCATAATTTTGTAGAGCTCTCTAGTGTTATCATCATATTACATTCATTCAGACATATCAGGTACCCTCTTATGGAGTTGTTATGCCATGGCACCGTTCGGGGCGAGTACCTCCATAACTAATCCACAGCTCCACTGATTTTTCAACTGAGGTATTTCATGCTTAAACACAAATCATGAAAACCTGTACCAAACATGGTTCAGTTTTAGGTTTTATTATAGAGTTTTAATGCAACCTGTAATTGGCACATGAATGCTCCAGCTGGATGAAAAATAATTAATATGCAAGTTCACAATTTATAGAGCTTATGTAATATTTAAAAATTAATTTAAGAAATATTCGTCATTTGAAAAGCACAGGAAAATCTGGCTTACCTGTCGGAGGCATTGAGTTTAAATGGCTAGTGTTGCTTAGTTACCAAAGTTGTATCATATGGAGTTGTGGTGGCATTATCAGTGGTGTATTAAGGTGGTGCGGGGAGCATCCTTCCCCCACAAAAGGGTTGTACATCCCCCTTCCCCCAGTTTCCTCTCAGGAAATGTTTGAAGCAAAGACAATACCCTGAAGTAGTTATCGGAAATCACCTAATATCGCCCTAATTTGCGAGTGCCCCCTCACTTAACTATTGAGCTCACCTTCACACCCCCATTAGGCCCCCTCCATCCACAACATCAAGACTCTTAGATACTGTGCGTCACATTGGGAATTAGAGGCCTACGATATTGGTCGTACATTTCTTAATTAAAAAATTATAAATACACGTACTGCTACATTTCGTTCCACTATCATCGGATCTTCGTCGTTATAAACCTAATGAAATTATTTGCAAGACCTAACAGTAGTAACCTACTGTATATTCCTGGGTGGAGAGAGCAAATGTGAATAGACCTTGCCAATGATTCAAATAAGTGACAAGTTTTCAGCCATTAGCATTGCGGTAACATGGATGCACCACTAAACATACAGATATATATAATATATAAATAGATAATTACTAGTACGTGTGGTATTGTTAATACAAAAGTACAAGTTCAGCATTGCAGTGTGAAGGATTTACTTAATCTAATGTTATTTCTGTTTTTAAAACTAATAAATCACCAAATTGAATGATTATGTTGCTCTTTTTTGTTTTTAACTGACAGCCTTGTAGCGAAGAAAAGGAAATTACTTTGATATTGGAAAGAGACGACGGTAGTCTCGGAATGAATATTATTGGTGGCCATGGGGTAAGTCAAGTCAAAATGTATTAAACATTTAATTGTAACTACAGCTTTTTACGAAAAATTATACTATTTCTATGAATGGTAATTTCGATTTTATCTGGTTATTTAAGTACATATTAAAATTTGACTTCAAATGAATTATTTATATAATTATTTTTTAATGCATGATAAGTGGTCTAAGGGTAGGAGCCCTTTCGCCAGGATTTCTTTAAAGAGTGACGGAATTTCAGAAAATGTTGTCCAAAAACTTTAAGGGTGGTGCACAAAGCTGTAGAGGGTAGATATATTTTTGGTACTACTTATGGTGTCGGATACGACGCAGCATGACCCGTGTCCCACAATTTAAATTTCATTTACTCGATACATTTTAATTTGTTAATGCAAAAAATATGTACACTTAAATTATGAAGAAATCGAAACAATTCATCAAAACTAATAACTTACAAGATGGAGTCTCTTATAGAAAGATGCATACAATAAATGTTCATAATATGTGGATAAAGATGTGAACACCCCCCCCCCCCAGTAGTACAGATACAGATTAAATTTATTGTCAATTGTACATCAACATGTAAACATACAATGAAATAGTATCGGCTCGATGAACGCAATATAAATAATTTAAATAACATGAATACAACTATACAGTGAGACAAACATTTAATTTCTGGATACCGACCACGCATTTACAGCTTTGATGGCAGACGGAAAGAATGAAGCTCTTGATCTTGTATGAGATGCGTATGGGGTTTTGTAACGTTGACCAGATTTCAAGAGGCAAAAATGAGAATTACCGGGATGAAAAGGGTCACTGATAATGGATGTTGCCTTATTGATGATACGTTGATTATACAGAATGTCTAATGAAGGTTGTTGTATACCGATTGTTCGAGAAGCACATTTGACAATCCTATTTAAAATTTCTTTATCATCATAATTAGCATATTCATACCAAACTAAATATGACTGAGTTATGACACTTTCAATGACTGATTTATAAAACTAACCCATTATTTTAGAACTTATACGAAACGACCGTAATCTACTTAAAAAGAAGAGGCGCTGTTGTCCTTTCTTCCTACACCTATCTACCTGCTCAGTCCACTTTAAGTCATTCTGTACATATATCCCTAAGAATTTATAATTCTCTACAAGTTCTACTTCTGTACCTGAAATGATCAATGGTCTCTTTACATTTTTATGTAATGTCCTAAAATCCACAGTTGGGCTTGCATCGAAGGCGGTGCCTCACGATGACATGCGATTGAACAAGTACTGTTACCCATGAGAACTGTGGAATTGCCTGCAGTTCTACACTTCAGTATTTATTGTTTTGAATAAAATGCACTTAGTACATATTTTTTTAGAGTGGCGCTAAAATTTTAAGCGTGGTGCAACCTTTGCTTATTTTTCCTAAGCGTGGCGGTCATTTTGTTTTTTCGCCCAAGCGTGGCGGTGCTGCCACGCTTAAGCATACCTGGCGAGACCCCTGGAGTAGTCATGAAGACTTCATTCAAAGTCACTTTTAATAAATCTCTCTTGATGTGGACAAATCATGTGGGATCTGTGATATGTAGACCATAATATTGCAGAAAGTGTAGCCAGTCAAGTCTCAGAGAAAAGTTATTAGACCATATCATATAATTGCAAAATGTGCTAAAAATTGTAATTATAATAATTAAAAAAAAAAGAAATTCTTATTCTTATTCTTAATAATAATAAAAAAAGAAACTTGTAGAAAGTGTAGTCAGTCTCAGGGAAAGTTATTAGACCATATCATATAATTGCAAAATGTGCTAAAAATTGTAATTATAATAATAATAATAATTAAAAAGATCTTTAAAAAAATGAGTTATGAATCAAGAAGTTCAGAGTATTCTTGCTGGAACTGCCAAAATTGCTGTTTCTTCATTATATGTAGTCTGAAAATGCTTCCCTATGCCCACTGACAATTTCAGTTTCCTTCAGATTGTGAGAGTGGACTTGTTAGGCCTGTATCAGAGCAAGGTGTTACATTTAATGCTGAAAATTTTAAGTTAATCCCATAGAAAATAACACTAAAACCTTCAACCACTGAAAGTTTTCAAGTCTTAATGTCTTAATTTTTTAAAAGTGGAAATGTTGGAGACAAGGGCTTAATCTAAACGACATATAAATAATGTGGTACACAGATAGGGTATGAAAATGTTTATTTTTATTGTTATTAGTGTTAACAAAATTTGAAAAAAAACATGTTTGTGTAACATGTGTATTCAGAATCAGTGATTGTACGGGTTTCACATACGCTAATCGATGCATCAATAATTGGTTCAGGTTATTCCCCTTAGTAAAACTTGTCAAATCGAACACCTTTCTAATTTTTGGATTACATTGAGGTGAGGATTTTGCCCGTAGACCTACTTTGTGGCTACAAAATATGCGTAAATTAAAAATAATTTATAATCCCTGCTTAACGTGTGGCCCTCGGTGGAATAAATACTAATCAAGCAAAAAATAGCTCCAGATTTTATATTTCGATGGCATGTGGGTTCGTTGGCTGCCAGAACGTCATCGGAGGAATAATTCTACCTGTTGGTTTGGAGTCAAACTCTTCAAAATGATGGTTTTCTTGTTGGGATCTTTTTTTTTTTTGTGTAAATATTCTTATAAAATGGTTTACAAAGAATGTTGTGTTAAATGGGACAATAAACTATAGAATCTATTATAATGGAAAACTTCACAATTGAACTAGTTTCTATTATATTTGATTTTTTTTTTAGGTTTTGTTGACCCAAGATAAGAAATGATTTGTTATGTTATGTTTGCTTTCTAAAGTAGGCTGGATTTGTCATCCGCTGCATTTTTTCAGACCTGTATTCGAAAATATTTGTTTCCATGTTTTTAACCCTTTAATGAAAGAGTAATTTAAGAATGCTATTATTTAGATATTTCCTGAATAGTCTTTCCCTGGTTTTTGTATCAGTTTCTTTCCTACAGATGGTTTATTGCTTACATAATTTACTCAATCCTTGTTTCTTATCAACTCTAGAATAGTACCGTGGGTGGGGATCGTGGGAAGAACTCTTCTTACTTTCACTGGTTATTATTAAGCACTTGTTGGATTATATTGATGATACTTAAGGCTATAGTAGTCTAATTCCAATTGGGTGATGCATTAGGTTAACAATTACCAACAAACAGACTTAATCCCCTGTAATAATCTGTTCTGGTGACCGGCATTCTCTGCCACTTTTATGCAGTTGTTGTGGATTAGAGGCGTATGTCCTCACCTTGTTAATCATAGGATCAGGATCAGTGGTTCTGGTCCCTACAAATAGTTGCCACTCAATGAACCTGATCTTACATAACAGAAACACCATACATAATTGTTAATTCTGAAATACAGTTGGGGAGCATTTCCTAAATGCTGATATAAAAAGAACAATATGATGTCTATCAAAATCAATCGCCATTGATTATAATGTTGATAAATTTACTATAATAATCTAATGTTGAACCAAGGACAATCCAAATTAAAATTGAATTTAATTCTAGGATTCAACAATTAATATAACACTTTATAGTACTAGACAAAGATCCATGGATTATTAGCAAGTTATTTCTTTTTGGAGCATTGCAAAAGTTTTAAATTAAGGAACAGTACAGTAAACATGTCAAAATGTATTGTATTTATTTCAAATTTAGCCCCAGTAGAATGGTAGTCAACATCCAATTTACCAATTACATAGCAATAACAGTTTCGATTCAATGTACCATTTCCAAGGATGTTATAAATTTTTTTGAGAACAGCTCAAGCCATTGTTAAAAAGTAGGTAGGCCTTACTGATGTATAGATCTATATAGATGATTGATTGACATGGTTGATCTCTAGTTGATGTTATGTTGCTATGCAACATTTACCAGGGGAAGTGCGAGACATGCCAATTTTGTTAATATCCTCACCCAAACGTACTTTATATAGGATTTTAGATTTTTATTTTAAAATCCTAATACTAGTTAATTTACTTGTTTCATAATCTTTAGTAGATTGGGCGTAATTTGCAATTCTTACAATCTCTTCCCTACAGTAGTAAGTTTCTCCCTGGCTGAAACCCCAAATCCTTGTTGTACATTTCACCTGTTTGTACCCCATGCAGTAGTATTTTAGTTCCCTCACTGCAATGATGTCAATTGAGGCTAATAGCTAAATAGGAAACAATTTAAAGCAAATTATTATTTCCTGTACTATTAATAATAACTGTCAATAACTTGCCATCATTGTTGTTTGATTGGTTTAATACTTCTAATGAGTTACATGTGTTTGTTTATTATTGTTTCATTTTTATTTTATTTTTAACTTTAATGGATCATATATGTTTCAGTATTCAATAACTACCCTTGAGGCTCATAATCCACCAGTATAACTTGTAGCAAATTAATATTATTATGAATCACAGAGATTATGCTTTAGGTAGTGTAGCCCCCAATGTGTTACCCCTTTAACATGCTTTTATGCATGATTTATAGTGGTAGTTAAACTTGTAATTTCTTGTTTGTTTAGGCTAATTGTGGACATGAGAAAAGGAAGTTATCTAGCAAATTTAATCATATGCCTATTAAATCAAAACAGTTTTTCATCCAGAATCTGTTTGCATTTATAACCAGAATATATTATTCCATTTATTACATCAATTTTTTTTTATTACTCAATCTGATTACCTTTAAATAACTTAGATAATAAATGTCGATATACATCAATCAGCATTGTAAATTGTTATTACGACGGTGCTATATAGTTGTGAAATAAAGTATTAAAAATGGTTTCAATGTACGTGCCAAGAACCCTGTAGGAATTGACAAACTAACAGTGTCTACTCTACAGTATTACCCTGCCCTAAAGCTCACAGGCTTGTACTGTTGATCAAAGTATCTGCAATGGAAACCATGATTGTCAACAAAACAAAAAACCCCATAGAAGTAAATTTGTGGGGGTCTCAATGCTACAACTTCGTATCCCAATGAAG